ACCTTACTGCTTGATTTGCAGTTCCAGCTTCATGAAAAGGGTTATCATCCCTTCAATCCACAGAATCATCCTCTGGACTACCTTCCAGTGTCTCTGCAGGGTTATGGTCACCTTCCGGCATCTCCATACAGGCTCCCATGGGTTCCTGTCACTGTAAAGCTTGCACAGCTCACTACAAGTCCTCAATCATATGTCACATCTCAGTTAATTCTGCTTGTTGGCCTTTGTTTCCTCTGCCACGACCAGCCATAGGTCTGATACCAATTTGATGCCAGGAAGATGGGGTAGAACAAACAGAAACTAAGAACTCCATAACATTAAAAATGGAATGAAGAAAACTTAGGTTTTCAACCTTAAGTTCATTCTCAAACTAAATCTCATAACAAAAACTGATTTAGAGATCTAAAGATAACTATATATGCTAACAGCAGCCAAGAATCCTAATTCAATACTAATTTCAACTTCTAATAACCTACTAATTCTAGTCCTAATCAGAAATAACAAGCTATCCACATGACTTTCCTAAAATTAAAACTTAGACTCCAAATAAAACTCAAACTAAAACAAGTAATTAAAAAAAAATTTATGCTCCTGCATCACCATGTGTCATTGTCATATTGTAATATTATTTTCCAGATGATTTCTCCAAGGCTTGATACATTAGAGATGCAAGTCCATCAATAAATCAAAACATGTTACACTTGCATTCATCTGAAGACAATGTATTGCATTGTTATTTAACTTAAAAGAAACAAACGGATGGTAAATACATAACTTCATACACACTGACAAAAATATTTCGATCCGCTATGGGGATGGCTACAATCAACTGCCAAAACCCATATTAAGTCTAAATATGGACAGTAAGGTTATTGTTGAGATATTCAGACTATTTTTAGAACAAGACTCACCTGGCCAAGCCGTGATTCCAATATGTTGTAGAACTGGATGTGTGGGAACTGTACCATCAACCTCCAAAATGATCTCCCCCTTGAAACAGAAGACTGGACATGGAGGATCCCATTGTACTCTTTGCAGCCTTAACAACCCTAAAGAAAAATAAATAGACATCCAATAGTACACAGCTAAGAAGACAAAAATATGAACAAAAACACAACTGAAAGCAGTAACAGAAAATAAGTAGACATGTTTCTGATCTATTTTGTGCAATGCGAATGCTAGTACGTTATGCAGCCTCTGCTACTAATTGCCAGACTGAAAACATTCTTAACTACAGTAGATAAGCACTTAAATTGGGTACTTAAATCTAAAGAAAAGCCACCAAAAATACATACAACTAAATAAGGGTAATTTCCCAATAAACACCCAGAATCTAACAATAATTTTTTTTTAAGAAGTTGCTAAACAATGGAACAATAATCTGTATCTATATTTTCAGTTGCAAGCCCAACACCTGCACTCAAAAGGGATGCCACCAAATATGAGAAGTAAGATTCAAGCTGGCTGGAAATGCAGGTTCAAATCCCCTATCGCCATTTGGGTGCAAACAATTCTGATAGGCCATGTCTTGCTACTTGTGGAGGGGAGGTTTGTAGGTGCCTGGGGGATTAGTTGGGTCAAAGGTTTGGATACCCATGTTATCAGAAAAAAAAGAAAGAAAGAGTATAACCTGCTTTTTAATCTAAATAAAGTTCTGTTGCCAAATGTGTATTTATTTTATGATATTTTCCCACAACATTTTCTTTTGACAATAACGAGTACTTATCCCACAACGAGAAAAGAAAAGTTACAACCCCAGTTGTAAGTTGAAACTAGAATTAAAGATAACACTCTGCCAGTAAGAAGCATAAGATGCTGTCTTTAGTAACAATTTTAGACCTCCACTTGCAAGTTGACAAATGTTTGAGACAAAAAATTCGCTTCTCAATCCAAAAATTAATTTGTGAAAGATTTATCGATCATAATCAATCAGCTTCTTATTCTCAGCATATGAAACACATTTGAAGACTGTTCCCATTGTATAAAGTCCATGGAACTCTTCAAATCAAGTCTCTTTCTAGGATATCTAACACCAAGTAGATAATTAGAGAATTCAAGAACATCTCTAGCTGACAATGAAATAATAAGTTCTGAAATATCAACTGAATTTCATCCTAGCCAAATTCAGTTATTTCCTAACTAAGAGAAGTAAGAATATGCACCAGGAATTTTCAACTGCCAGTAATACAAAGCAGTTGTAAGAAAATAATTGGAAAAATTCCAAATAGATATGAAAGATGAAAGGATATGAAAGAAACAAGCATAAGGAAATATTATGTCTAAGTTATTCAACAACATTTGTTACTTCAAGTTAGTTGGAACAAGGGTTTGATATAAAAAAGAACTACAATTAACAAAATTGATTGGGATTAATTAGTTAGTTCATACTTGTCAAGGCTTCGAAGGTATTTTTCATATATAAGAAGATGAAGTCGATGGCCTGAAGAATTTGTAAGTGCATCAAAAAGATTGTGGACAGTTATATCTGCAACAGCAGCACAGACAGGAGCTATTCGTGCAAAAGCTTCTCGTCCAACAGTTTTCTTATCATCAACCTGGTGAAAAATGACATGCAAAAGTTAAAACTAATGATCATTGAGTAACCCATCCAATAAAATAGTATCCATCAAGAGCCAAATAGTTTCAAATGACATTTTATTATGCCTTGCAGTAAAGAGGGGGGGGGGGGGGGGAGGGGGGATAGTACAAAACCTGAACAGCCATATTTGTGGAACTTGAATAAAACAGTGACTGTCCTTCCTCGTCCTCTGTTTCCTGATTGCTTTCTAGAGTATTTTCCTGTAGTTAAGGAGAAGTTCAGAGATGGTTGTCAATTCCAAATATAGCAAAACAGTTTGTCTCTTTGCTTCATCTCAGAAGTCAAATTACAAATCAGTAAGATACAATTCTAACAAATAATTCCAATAAATATCAGTAGGACTTAAAGATTAACTCTCACTTTGGCTTGTTCACACTCTACACTTGGGGCCTCCCATGCAAGCATCATGTCATATGTTAATTGACGGAATTCTGGGTCACTCAAATGATCTAGACGTCTGGTAATTTGATGGAGTGCTTGGAAAGAGAAATATTCTAAAAAATTCCTAGTGTATGTGAACAGTTGCCTCACACTCTCCGGCAACTCTATGTCAAAGTAATGCTGCAATTCCTCAGTAGGGATTCTAAGGATCCTGAAACAGTAAAAAGTGTGCTTAAGAGGGGCTACAATATATAAAGAGACAAATGGTACCTCAGGGAATATTGAGTTATTATAAACAAAATTTCAATTTGCTCCAAGTATCTTTTAGTTATTTTGAACCATGATAGAATCATGATACTTCCCTCCTTCTGATACAAATGAGAAAAGGAGGTAACTATTTTCCTATTCCATTGATTATTACTTAGCATTTTGATCTAACTTAATCTCAGAATACTTTAAAAAACAAGAAAATATGACCAAATTCAGAATGCCAAATACAGTGGCAAGATTGGGTATCTATTTTCCTATTCAAATGATACTTCCTCCGTTTGTTTTCACACACTGACAGTAAACTCCCTTAAGCCACTGATCCTACTTATCTTCGGTTCCTATTAAATGCAGGAATTAAGTGTAGGTCCTTGGTACAACTAACAAAGGACTTCACTGACTCAGTTACATAAGACCTTTTTATATCTTATTCCCCGTAATTTACTCAAAAAGTTCACTAGACAACACGTTTAACACAAACTTTCTTTCAAAATACCAGCCAACATCTGCCTAGTTATCAAAAATAAAGAGAGAGAAAAATAACAGCTATCCCAAAAGAGTTTATAATGAAAACGAAGATAATGAAAATGAAGAGTACATGGATTTCAAATTCAATAATAGGTTCTACCTAGTTTCTACAGAAATGTTTCTATAAAGGCTACAGTTAAAACTGCAATAACCTCCCAAAACGTCATTCTGCAAAGATTTCAAAAGAAGATATCTAATTCTATAACACCACCTCCTGTGTACGTAAATTAGATATCACAAAATAAGAATGGAAGAAACCTTACAAAAGGGTAGCTTCTATGGTAGAGAAAAGGAGGTATCATGAGTCAAGCATAAATTTCCTAGTCCCTAGATGAAAACATTTTTAGCTTCAGATTAAAAGATCATTATTGCTAGACAAAACATATATTATCCCCGGAAATTCATACACAGACTATTATCATTAAGCTTTCATGTATTCCATCCAATGATGATCCACTTAAGACCAATTTTGTTCTAAACTTCAGCCATGCAGACATCTATCATATGCATATAACTCGACATTATCATCACAATTCGTGATGAAGTAATAAATCCATATGCAAGAATGCCTGCTAAGACATTCCCAGAACGGGGAAGAAGCCGACCATCGAACCATATCTTAATACCATCAACAAAAGAAAATTTAATAAATATCTCGAAAGAGGGTCCGTTCATTAAACATTGAATTGCCAGAAGAAGAAAAAAAAACTGTAAAATGAACATATGTACGCATGAAAACCCAAAAAAAGTTATGAAAAAGTGAGAAAAGGGTACTTGGAACAGCGAGAGACGACCGAATTGGCTAGAGGAGAGAGCTGGGGAATGGGCTTCGGGGAATCAGTGTGAGAGTCTTCATCATTGGACGATGATTTCTTGCGCTGGAAAAGGGATTTCAAGGACATCTGATGGTTTTTCATGAAACTCTCCCACATCGTCGTCTTACGACCGCCCTCCATTTTCCGTTGCAGAGGATTTTGAGCGAGTAGTGGGCTGAAACTCGAATTCCATTAACACCATCGCATTTCATTCAATTTTTCATTTTCTTCTTTTCATTTTTCCTTTCTCTCTTCTTTCTTCGTCCCTTTGCAAATGCTGTTTTCTCATATCTCATACGATTTACAGTCGGACTGATTCATTCCAGACAGTAAAACACTAACACTTTGTTTGGATAGAAAATAGTAAAGGGAAGGGAAGAGAGGGAAATGAAGGAAAATAAAAGGACATGGAGGGGAAGGAAGAGAAATGGAAGGGAAGAAAATGGAAATCAACTGTGTTAATTTTGTTTGGATAAATAAAATCAGAAAACTATCTTTCAGATTGTAAAAAAAATTTGAAGTTCGCACCTCCAGAACGTCATTGTTCCTTATTTTATCTGAAAACCCCTTTATTCCTCCTATTCTCTTCGCACCAAATCTTTTTCCCATCTTGTTCCCTTTCATCTTCTTTGCATTCCAGACCTTCTTCTTCAGAGTTCAAATCCGAGAAGGAACCCTTGCAACTATGTTCGAAAGTCGTTTGTTGAGTGACTCCTCTCATTCCCACACTAGATCTCATTTCCCTTCACCTCTTCGCACTCCAAACCCTCTTCTTCAACGTTCAATTCTGACAAGGAACCCTTGCAACTAGGTTCAAAAGTCGTTTGCTGAGCGCCTTCTCTCCAATATGATTACTTTTCTTCTAATGGATCACTAAAAGACTTCTTCTCTCTAGAACATGCTTTTCAACATTAGAGAGCAGTAAGGGTTCGATCTGCAAGTGAGGGGGAACAGGCGACGCATGGTGGGTTCGTATAATGTCATTACTCTTGGTGAGGATATTGTTGTGCTT